CTCACCCCCCCCCCCCCCCCCCACCTTGTGCGCCTCCTACCCGAAGACCACCATTACCATCACCAGCAAATCCGGGAGACTGTCCGGGCTATCATGGCTGCTCGTGCCCACTGCCACTGCACTGCCCTTCACTTCTCAAGGGCCCGTGAGTGCCCCGGCCTCCAGCGCCAGGCAGCCAGCCAGACAGCGCATGTCCAGCAGCGCGAGGCCAGAATGTGTGGCTGGGCCCAGAGAGCTTCCACCACCATCACCGGCAAGTCCGCGAGCTGGCCCGGCTATGGCCGCTCGTGCCCACTGCCACTGCAGTGCCCCAGACCAGCCTCCAGCACCAGGCAGCCAACCAGACAGTGCAGGCTCCAGCAGCGTGGCGGCAAGCCGTATGATGCCAGAATGTGTGGCTGGGCGCAGAGAGATTTCCTAAATGGGAAGTGCTCTGCCCTGCATCCGTGGCCTAGGCTTGGAGACGGGTTCCCAGTAGCCTGGGTTCGTGCCGAAGTGTATGCGCCCAGGCCTATTCCAGATAGCGCCCTGGGTCCAGGCATATTCCAGATACCGGCCTGGGTCCAGGCCGATTCCTGATACCGGCCTGGGTCCAGGCCGATTCCCGATAGCGGCCAACTGTGCGACACGGCCAGCCTCACAGGCTGCATTCTGATTGGCGGCAAAGACCCATCCCAGATAGCGGCCTGGGGCCCATTCCAGATAGGCCTGGACCCGCAACAGTTAAGCGAGCCAACTGTGCGACGTGGCCAGCGTCACAGGCTGCATTCTGATTGGCCAAAAGGCCAGAGGCCACGCCAATGTCTGGAAGAGCCCAGAGGGCTCACAAAGTCGTGATCACACGGGACTGGGCCTTGTAACCAACTCGCGCGTGGTAACTGTCTGGCGCCCCCGGATGCAGAAATGACAAAAAAAAAAGGCCTCAGGTTGTGATGCAGACCCGCCTTCACTTAGGGCGCGGGACCCTCGAGAGTGTCGGGCAAAAGGGCCGTGCGCTTGCGAGGGCTCGCTCGTTCCTCGCATTATCCAGTTTTTACAAATTGTTTGTCCATATTCCACGCACTTGGATAATTTGCCGGCGTCGGTGAGCTTGGCGGCTTCCCTGGCATTGTCGTATTCTCATTCGACGTTCTCAGGTTGATTGCGATCCAATCATCCATCATATCGCGTCAGATTAGGGCGAGATCCCACTGGCAAAGGGGATTGTAGTAAGTGTCTGAATGTGGCCGTGTTTGTGGACAGGTGCGAAAATTTATGATTGATCTACTTTTATGCACCTCGGCGTGAAAGACGTCCAGACTCAGACACTTCTTCCAATCCTCTTTGCCAGTGGGATCCGGCCCTTAGACTCTGGATAGCATCGGACAAGGTCGGAGCAGGAAAAAAGGAGTTGGATCGGTTGGAAGGAAGAATCGGGGACGTTGATGGAGGCCCGCGTACGGATTGATTGGTCATCTGATTGGGCGATTGATCAATCAACGATCGATGTAGATTGATTGATTGATTGATTGATCGATTGAGAGGAAGAATCGGACGTTGATATCGACAGGCGTACGGATTGATTAGGCATCTGATTAGCCGATTGATCAATCAACGATCGATATGAACTAGTTGATTGATGGATTGATCGATTGATTGATCGATTGATTGATCGATTGGTTGATCGATTGATTGATCGATTGATTGATTGGTCGATTGATTGATTGATTGGTGAATTGACTGCTTTGTTTCAACCATGTCGCAAACATCTGGACTAAGCAAGGTATGCAAGGGTGATCCTCCCTCCTCCTCTGCTTCTCACTCCTCCTCTGCGTCGCCTCTTCCTCCTCCTCTCCTTTGCCCCACTCCTCTCCTTCCCCTCTTTCTCTCCTTCTCCCTCCTCCTGTGCTTCGCCTCTTCCTTCTCCTCTCCTCTCTCCTCCTCTCCTTTTCCCCCTCCTCTCCTTCCCTTCCTCCTCTCCTTCTCCCTCCTCCTCTGCTCCGCCTCTTCCTCCTCCTTTCCTCTCTCCTCTTTCCCTTTTCCCCCTCCTCTCCTTCCCCTCTTCCTCTCCTTCTCCCTCCTCCTCTGCTTCTCCCTCCTCCATGAGGATTTACGTCTCAATCATGAGTTGATGTTATGCATTAAACAACTGATATTAGGGATAACACATCAGGACTTGAACTCATGATCTGTTTGTCATCAGTTGTGCGGCACTGATCAGCCACAGGACACGGTATGATGATGATGATGATGATGATGATGATGATAGAGGGCCTAGCTCAACTATTCACCAGTTGTGCAAAATGAGAATGAATCTTCCGCTATTAGGGGCTTGTTCTTCTCCTCCTCCCCCCCCCCCCCTCCTTCTTTAGGCGGTAATAATTAATCCGTGTCTATACGTTTCCGCATCGGGGCGGAAGTCCTGCTAGCAAAGAGGATTGGATTAAGCGCCTGAATCTGGACGCGTTTTATGCAGAGATTCAGAAAAGCAGATCAATCGCGATTTTCTGCACTTCTCTGCAAAAACAGGTTCCGATTCAGGCCCAAAATCCAATCCGCTTCGCTAGTGTGACCTTGCCCCCGATGATGGAACAACAAGAACAACAACGACAACAACAACAACACGAAGAAGGTGGTGGTTTATCGCTCGCGCGTACCCAGGTTGGTTGAGTTGAGCATTCCCATTCCGCATGCAACATTTTTTTTAACTGTATCAATTTAGTTCGACCGAGATTCGAACTCATGATCTGTTCATCAAGAGAGTTGCATGCATGCACGATCGATCGACAATTCAGTACGTGAAGGAGAGGGGAGGAGGGGGCGGTAAAAGTACGCCGGGGGAAAGAGAGGGGGAGTTGGGGGGGGGGGGGGGGCTAAGAGGAAGAGGATGCAGAAAACCAGATCAAGCGCGATGTTCTGCACCTCTCCACAAACACGTCCAAGTTCAGGTGTCCAACCCAGTCCTCTTTGCTAGTGGGACGTCGCCCACAGTGTGTGTTCATCCCTCCCTCTCTTAAACCTTTCTCCGACTCATCAGATGTGTGTGTGTGTGTTCATCGCTGTTGTCCCTCTCCTCTCTAATCTTCTCCCTCTCATTTCTTCCTCCCTTCAAAGAGATACTCTCCTCCCTCCCTCCCTCCCTCCTCTCTGGAAACAACCCACCCCCAGCATTGGCAATGACCCTGAGTGTGTGTTCATCGCCGTTGTCCCTCTCCTCGCTAATTTTCCTCCCTCTCTTTTCTCCTCCCTCTCTTCTCCTACCTCTCTTCCCTCTCCTCGCTAATTTTCCTCCCTCTCTCTTCTCCTCCCTCTCTTCTCCTACCTCTCTTCTCTTCCTCCCTTCAAACAGATACTCTCCTCCCTCCCTCCCTCCCTCTTTTAAGAGACAACCCAGCCCCGGCATTGGCAATGAACCTGGGCCAGTTCCGCCATATAATCGCCGGAGATCTGTCCGTACATCGTTTTAATCGCTGCAATCATAGCCTCTTTGGCGCGCAGCTCCTCCCCCTGCGACTCGTGGAACAGACCCGTGTAAACCAAGGCGTAAAACTGGTCATGCCCACCATTCCCTCCTCCTCCCCTTCCTCCTCCTCCTAACTCCTTGATTCCTGCCGCTGCCAGCAGGTCATCGACGGAACACCATTCTTGAACAAGTCGTGCGCTACCCTCATTATCGGTCGGGAGTCGCGACCCACCTGCAGGAAAGGCCGGCGCGCTTTGTCCGGACCGTGTATCCGTGCCTCCGCGAGAAAACACCAGATCGCCTCCTCGGTGTCATTTGGGTTGACGGCAACATCTTCTCGAAACTGCCTGGCCGCCTCCTCACACTGGTCGAGGTAGTAGAGCGAAAGACCCCTCTGCCATAAATAGGGCCTTTGAGAGGGGTCTAATTGGGAGGGCTAGATCGAAGTTGGCCAACGAGGCCCCCACGTCACCCTCGATTAACTTTTTCATTCCTCTCCGCATGGCGGCTATGGCTTCTTGGCGCTTGTTTGCCGTGGGGATGTCAGCCGAGGAGGAGGAGGAGGAAGGCATAGCTGTCGTGGCCACGATAGTTATGACACCTCCGACGACCAGTCCGGCAGAGACGGCCGCCGCCCCAGCGGCAAGGACCGACGTCCGGTCGTCGGCGACCGGTCGCCGCTGACGCTCATGAGAATGATGATGAAGATGACGATTATTGTGATGGTCGCCGACCAGCCTTTCACAGCTAATGTGGGCTTTTGCCACAGAATAATGATTTTTCACCGATAAAAGAGAAGAAGATAGGATTTTGAGAGGAGGTGGTGGTGGTTAATCTCGATCGCGACGGGGCGGGACCACCGGGGGATCCCGATGCTCTCGAGTTAATTAAGCAGCAGGTTGGCGGTTCGCTACGACCCTCACGTGGTTTTGTCGTGTGTCGCGGACCCCTCCCCGACCTCCAGTCCCGTCGCTCTCCAGCTCCGCTGCGACCGCCACGTGGTCTCTGATCGTGTGCCGCGACCAGGCCGATCCAGACCCCTCCCCCCCCTCCACTCCCGTCGCTTTCCAGCTCCACTGCGGCCGCCACGTGGTCTCTGAGATGATCGCATCGGGATTCCATCCTACTGCGACCAATGGATTTTGTCGCGATGCCCGTCGGGACCGCGACTGCGTTATTGTCCCCTTCATGTCCACGTGGCGAGTGGAAGCTGACAAAGAGAGCGCGGCTGGAATTGCCAGCAGGTGACGATTCATTGGACCTTTGCGGTAGTTGCAAAGGCTCCCGCCACGTGGCATCGCCAGAGCCCGTTGCATTTTGCCACGTGGAACGATGATGACGTCACCCAAAAGAACTGGTCTCGGTCGATCACTACAAAAGTTGGACCATCTGGCGATATGCACAAGGCCGATCTATACCTTTTTCGGCATTTTACCTCCTTTTCTTTTTGACCTTTTCCTCTTTTTTTTCCCAAGAAAAGGACGACACACCTCTTGAGGTATCATCATCGAAAGGACGGCCGCCACGGCGAGGTCCCACTAGCAAAGAGGATTGGACTGAATGCCTGAGGGCATACTCACACTAGCACGTACAAACGCAAATTATATGTGAGCCAATTTGCGATTATATGGCACTTCCCAGTCACAGAGCACACCCGGGGCAAGGTCCCACTTGCACGGATCAAGAGATTCTGGCCGTTGATCTTTGCTATCTACCGTCGATATAGCTTAATTCGTGTAAGTGGGACCTAGCCCCCGTATAGGCCACAAAAAAGAAAGGACAGAGTCTTGACCTGCTGCTCTAGGAATGCGATTATACGGGCCGAGGGGTCACACAGCACGATGCATAAAAATCCATCTCTTTTTCCTTTTTTTTTCCCCTTGTTCTTGCGAGAGCTGCCCCACCAAACGTCCAATTCCTTTTTTTTTGTGTTTTCAGAAAGAAACAGGTCTAAAAGAATACGCAATTGCGGGGACCTCCAGTGGCACGGTTCCACTAGCATACGGGGGCTAGGTCCCACTTGCACGAATCAAGAGATAGAGACCGCAGATAGCCGAGATCAATGGCCGAAATCTCCTAATCCGTGCAAGTGGGACCTTGCCCCGGGTCATGGCCAATTTGGTAAATCTCCTAATCCGTGCAAGTGGGACCTTGCCCCGGGTCATGGCCAATTTGGACCTGTGCGGCACTGTAAGAAAAGGAAGAAAAGTAATTTTAAAGACTTAAAAGGCCATGTTACATTTCCGAAGATGGGAAGGAGGCCGACTTTTGAAAGTGCTGCCGTCCCACTAATCCTCCCGTCTCCTCCCCCTGCTCCCCACCCAGCCAATGCCTAATCAGGACAGAGTGGTACGCGACTGTTGAAGTCTCGCGTACCACCGAGGGAGTCCCTTCGTGTGCCTGATGGGACTCCATTCTCTGACGGTTGCCATGCTGAAGCGTGCAGTTCGTATGTTTTGAGAGAAAAAACAAGTACCGGATGGGGTTACAATTGACCAGGAAAAAGAAGGCGTTCAAAACCATGCCCTTACAATTGACCAGGAAAAAGAAGGCGTTCAAAACCATGCCCTTCGAGTACTTTATTTTTTTTTATCTTTTGAAGAGCTATCAATCAAAGTGAGTCTTTCTAATTTCTTTTCCCGCCTCACATTCTTTGGAACTGAAAAGAAAAAGCACAAAAAAAAAACAAAACACCACTTCAGAGTATAAATCCATCGCAATTCGTTGCCATCGGATTCTCCTGCATCAGTGGTCGGACGATGTCCCGCAGATGTCCCACAGGTGTTTGTGGGATACAGTTTACCTTACTCCTTTGTTAGTGGAACCGTGCTCCAGGGGCACAGTTCCACTAGCACACGAGTAGTGTAAAATGTCCGCACAAAACACCACTGTGAGACAACTGGGGGAAATCGCCGGACCGTTGTTGCAGGAAAATTGAATGGCAGCAAAACCACGATGGACTTATATGTCCAAATTGTGTTTTTAATTTGGTTTTGTTCTTTTTCTTTTTATTTGGGAAGAATGGCAGGCCGAAAAAAGAAACGGAAAGACTCGTTTCGATTGGCTGCACTTCAAACGAGAAAAGAAAACTCAAGAACTCCAAGGGGTTAGTATTGACCTCCTTTTTTGGGGGTTTTTATTGGGACCCCATGGAGTACTTCATTTTTGACACAGAATACAACAATGTGCACGCTGCAGTATGGCAAACCTTCACTTTAGTCATCCCATCTGGCACACGAAGGGTCTTGGTCACAGTAACCGTCGGGTACAGCTTCTATCCCAACAGCCCAGCGAAGCAATGAACCGACTCTGGCTTCATTGGGCCTTGGCGGGTGGCATGAATCTGGACGTTTTTTGGAGGATGGGGCGGAGGTGGGAAGGGCAGGACGGGTGAGGACAGGTGAGGGTGCATGAATCAAAGTTATCAAACATTACCACCTTTTTCTTTTTCTTTTTTTTCTTTTCATTTTAACTCCTTTTCTTCGTTTTCTGGTGGTGTCGAACATGTTGTAATAGGCCATCACTCGCTTTCTAGTGGAACGGTGCCCCAGAGGTTCCCGCAAAATACGTAACCCCGCGGCTGTCCAAGCCGCTGACATTTACGTGGCCATTTGTGTGAAAACGCACAATATGTAGCCCGTGTGATCCAAAAAATCACCTATAATTTATGATTTTATGAAAATGCGTGCTAGCGTGCGTATGCCCTGAATCTGGACGTTTTTGTGGTAAGGTGCAGAAAATCGATATTGAACAGCATTTCTGTATCTCTGCCTAAAACACCATCCAAATTCAGGAGCTTAATCGAATACTCTTTGCTAGTGGGACCTCGCGACAGGGACTAAACCAATCATCATATCTTTGACCTAATATCCTACAAATAGTACAAAGAGACTTCCATAAGCCGAGTGTATTAAAGGAGGGTCGTTAGATTACTCAGGGCATACTCACACTAGGACGTTTTCTACTTAGGTCTGGACGTGATTGCAGTCAGAACTCTGGACGTGATTGTAGTCAGATTCATCCACGTGAGGCCAGAATTGTAGTCAGGTACATTTAGGAAAGTGCTAGTGTGAATGTGCAATTTAGCAAAGTGTTAGTGTGAGTATGCAATTTGGGAAAGTGCTAGTGTGAGTATGCAATTTAGGAAAGTGCTAGTGTGAGTATGCCCTCAGGAGGCTGGTGGAGGGAATGTGAGGGGAAGGAGCGTCCCTAGATTACTCGGGATCCAAACGGATCCCCTCACCGTCTTTAGGTGATAATCCGTGAGATCCTTGGTTAGGATAGGTAGAGTTAGCTGCTGCCAGGTGCATGGCTGTAAGGGCATAATATTCAGCCTCCTGATGAGTCGGTGAAACTCCAACGAAACAGTTTGTCACTGCCCCTCGTTTGTTGTCCTCTTTGCCAGTTTGTCCTCTTCTCCAGTTTCTCACAGACCCTGGTTTGTTGTCTTCGTCTCCCTCTCTGGCAACGGTTTACCGCGCAGTTCTGTTTGACGATATATAGAGAGTGGATTAGGGCATATTTACACTAGAACCATAGTACTTATTTCTGTACGCAGCCAGATACTTCCAGGTCCGGCCGTAATTACGGTCAGATACATTCAGAAAAGTGGNCCATAGTACTTATTTCTGTACGCAGCCAGATACTTCCAGGTCCGGCCGTAATTACGGTCAGATACATTCAGAAAAGTGGTAGTGTGATACATTCAGAAAACCTTACTTTGGTTTGTTAGGTATTTGTTGGGGGTGTGGCATTGCTCGTTTGGTGGAGTTAGGGGAACAGAAGGGACGCTGGGCCCGGTTCCTAGCACGAGCTGAACCTTGTCTTTTAAGTGTTAAGATGTCAAGGGACGCTGGACCCGGTTTCCAGCAGGTGCAGCTCCCCACCAATGGAACGGAGCCGCTCCCCAGGTGTTAGTGGTGTCTGCTCTTATCAGCATCACTAACACTGAAGGTTTTTTTTTTGTTAAAAAAAAAAAAAAAAAAAGGTTTGTTTGGGGTTGTTTGGCCATGTGGCATTGGTTTAATTTGGTGGCTTTAGGTTTGTTTGGCGTTTTTGCTCACGTGGCAATCTTATTTAGGTGGATTTTGTGTTGGTTGGCATTACCAGGACTGAGGGATATCTAGGCAGCGGTCCAGTTATGGCCAATCCTGTTCCTGGAGAGCTTCCTCAGTGCCTGCACCTAAGCTGGGTAATGGTCCCGGTACTTGTTTTTGCTGGGTTGTGGACTCCCGGCCTCCCTTTTGTGTGGTAGTATAGAGATTTCTAATGGTCCCAGTGCTTGTTTTTGCTGGGTTGTTTGTGGAGGGACTCCCGGTCTCCCTTTTGTGTGGTAGTATAGAGATTTCTTTCTTAAAGTATTAAAGGGATTGCCATCAGAATAGGAGCATAGGTCGCTTAAGCGGGGCACTCTGGCTCCTGCCAGCCGATCGGGACATCTCACGGGCGCGGCCACGTTGAAATATACTCGAAAGTGGGACTGAACCCCTGCTAGTGGGACTTAGCCCCAGGTAATTGAACGGTGATTCGAGTTGTGTTACTGAAACTGATCTGAACTCAGGATTCGAACTCAAGAGTCTTGGTAATCAACAGTTACATGGGCTGGGTGTATCATTTTGCCATAAGGGCTTGGTCTGCCTTCCTTTTTTTGTGTTTTCGTTTTTGTCTGCCTTATTTTGTGCTGAAAGGGGGTAGCACCTAACTTTGTTGTAATTTGCATATCCATGTGAGGGTTCAAAGTTCGAACCCACGATCTGCTTTTTATGAACAGCTAACCTGTGAACCATTCAACCGGTGGCCCATTTCCACCAGCGTGGTCGAAAAGGGCTGGGCAAGGGTCATAAATAGCCCACTTGATGCATCTTGTCCTTCTCTGCAGGTAGATGCATTCATCAGAAATAGCCCACTTGTAGCCTGGGGTACGTACCGTGGAGGGATAAGCTAAGTTTGGGCATCTGGACTAGGTTCAGAAATAGCCGCTGCTGTAGCCCGAAGGTAGTTTGAAGCATGTAGGCCAAAGGTAGTTTGAAGGTAGAGCCAACTTCTAGCCGGTAAGGTAGGTGGGTCGTACGGAGAGGCTGCTTTGGGCCGCGATCCACCACTCACCACACTGTTGTTTTGGCGAGTGCCCTCGTCGGTCCACCACTCACCATGGCCCAAATGTTGACTCTGTTAGTGGCAAGCAGACGTGGATTAGGCTTTAAATACCATCCAAGCAAATTAGAAAAGATGGGAAAGTCTTGCCAGAGAAGGTGATAGCCCTATATATTTTGTCCAAAAGTATTATTTTTTTTCCCGGTGCTGAGTGGGCTGTGGTGAGTACTCACTACGGCCACCTGCAACGACGGGGCTGTGGTGCATGTTC